TGCTCCTCAGCCGACTGGAATAGCTGATTGAGTCCCCCGGCTGAGTCCCCCGCTTATCTCCCAAGTCCCGCGGCCGCTAGCTACACTTCCCGACATTCGGCAAATTTAACCCTAAGCCGGTCTATATCGGCCTGGACATCTGCATGCCGTGACTATTAAACGGCGAATATTTTCCAATGCAAGTGTGTAAATCATCACGGAATTAGGTATTTGAATCAGAAAAGAAGAAGAACAACAGCAACGGCAACAAAATGGCATCCAAGGGAGTTCTGATCGCCATTGACAGAGGCGGCACTTTCACAGACGCCTGGGCTCAAATACCTGGCCGCGAGGAAAATGTCATTCTCAAAGTACTATCTGAGTCTCCCGACGAGTACAGCGACGCACCAACGGAATGTATACGACAGATTCTGGAAATCGCAACAGGAGCCAGCATCCCCCGCGGGACTCTGCTAGACATGGAATGCGTCGAATCAATTCGCATGGGCACCACAGTTGCCACAAATGCACTTCTGGAGAGGAAGGGCGAGAGAGTCGCCTTCATCACCACCAAGGGCTTCCGGGAAGCTCTCAAAATTGGAAATCAGGCCCGCCCAGACCTATTCGATCTCACTGTAAAACGTTTGGACAAGTTATACGAAACTGTTGTCGAGGTAGACGAGCGTGTGACCATCGAAGGATGGGGCGAAAATCCAGAACCAACTACTATCGACATTAGTGCCGATGTTGACCTGCGGGAAGGTATCACAGGGGAGGCCGTGAGGATTCTCAAAAGCCCGAACCTTGACGCAGTCCGTCTCGATCTGAAGCGTCTCTGGGACCAGGGATTCCGTGATGTTGCGGTTGCCCTAATGCATTCATACATGTTCCCCGATCATGAACTTGCCGTCGCAGATCTCGCCAAAGGAATGGGCTTCAACGTTGCTGTCTCTTCCAAACTTTCTTCCATGGCAAAGCTGATCCCGCGAAGTCAGTCGGCTGTCGCCGATGCTTACCTTACGCCTGTCACAACACGTTATCTTGAGAGTTTCCGAAAAGGCTTCAAGGGTCTGCTGGAAGACAAAAACGGAAAGAAACTATTCCTCAATCAGTCAGACGGCGGTCTGACTAACTTCAAAAACTTTGCTGGCCTGCGCGGTGTCCTCAGTGGTCCCGCTGGCGGTGTCGTCGGCGTCTCAAGGACTTGCTATGACCCCAGTGACGCAACACCATTGCTTGGATTTGACAGTAAGCTCTCTTCTCTGTCATATCGTGAAGATGCTTTATGGAACTAACAATATAAATTAGTGGGTGGCACTAGTACGGACGTGGCCCGATACTCAGGCGAGCTTGAACATGTGTTCGAGAGCACACTCGCGGAAATCTCTATCCAGACACCCCAGCTCGATATCAATACTGTCGCTGCAGGTGGTGGTTCCATTTTGTCCTGGGAGAATGGTCTCTTCAAGGTCGGCCCGGAGAGCGCTGGCGCCAACCCTGGGCCAGCTTGCTATGGAAAGGGAGGACCTTTGACCGTGACAGATGCCAACCTCTTCCTCGGTCGGATTATCAAGGAATCATTCCCCAAGCCTCTCAACACGGACATAGTCACTACTATGTTCCTGGATGTAACGGCCACCATCAACGAGGAAAAAGATGGCGACTCTCTCCTAACACCGGAAGAGGTGGCTTGTGGCTTTTTGTCTATCGCGAATGCAACTATGACACGACCAATCCGGACTCTAAGTGAAGGGCGTGGCTATGAGACTGCCAACCACAACCTGGCTTGCTTCGGTGGTGCTGGTGGACAACACGCTGTCTTCGTGGCCCGGGATCTCGGTATTCGTCGCGCCATCATTCCGCGGTACTCCAGCATCCTCTCTGCATACGGCATGGCTCTTGCCGACGTGACTGTCGAGAACCAAGAGCCCGAGTCCCTGATTTTCCACCCTGATATTATGCCAAGGGTAGAATCTCGCTTCAAGAAGCTTCGGTCACAAGGCGAGCAAGGCCTAGCTGCCCAAGGTTTCGGCCTGGAGTCCATTGAGCATGAGATGTATCTGAACATGCGGTACCGGGGAAGTGACACGATGTTGATGATCCGACAACCAGATGATCTTGCAGAGTTTGGAGACGCATTTACCCGTCGACATGAGCAGGAATTTGGCTTCTCCCAGCCGCGCGATATGCTGGTTGATGACGTCCGTGTTCGCAGTGTTGGCAAGGCCAAAGATGTCCACACCTCAAACCCTTTCGCTGAGCTCAAGAAGCTCGAGTCCTTGTCTACCCCTGAGTTCAGCGAGCAATCCATTTCAAATGTCTATTTTGAGAATGAGGGATGGCTCGATACTCCCGTGTATGACCTTACCCAGCTGCCGACCGCTGCCCGGGTCCGTGGCCCGGCCATGATCATCGACAAGACTCAGACAATTGTGGTCGACAGCAACAGCAAAGCTATCAAGCTCCCCGAGCACATCATTCTCGAGATCACTGATAGTGAGCGCAAGCCTGCTAGTACGGAAGCCATCGATCCAATCCTGCTCAGCGTGTTTAGCCATCGGCTGATGAGTGTGGCCGAACAAATGGGCAACGCGATGCAAAAGACATCCATCTCGGTAAATATCAAGGAGCGACTTGACTATTCCTGCGCCGTCTTCAGCGCCAGTGGAGGTCTTGTCGCTAATGCACCTCATATCCCGGGTCATCTCGGATCCATGGCCTCGGCAATCGCATACCAAGCTAAGCGGTACAAGCCAGGCGAGCTCAAACCTGGTGATGTGATCCTGAGTAACCATCCGATAGCGGGTGGTACTCACCTACCGGATATCACCTGCATTACGCCCGTGTTTGACAGCGATGAAAACCCGACAAAGATTCTCTTCTATGTGGGCAATCGTGGCCATCATGCTGACATCGGCGGTATCATCCCCGGGTCGATGCCGCCCAACTCGACGGAGCTATGGCAGGAGGGCGCCTCGTTCGAGTCGTTCAAGATGATCAAAGAGGGTGTTTTCGATGAAGAAGGGCTGATCGACATATTGTACAACGAGCCCGCTAAGTATCCCGGCTGCAGCGGCACACGTACCCTCAAGGACAACATAGCCGACCTGAAGGCCGCTGTGGCATCCAATCAGAGGGGAATTCAACTCATTCGCTCACTTGTCAATGAATATACTTGGCCTGTGGTCGAGTTTTATATGAATGCGATTCAAGAAAACGCTTCTCAGTCGGTGCGGGAGCTGCTCAAGGTCTTCTCGGAACGGTTTGAGGGTGCCGACCTTGAGGCCATCGACTACACCGACGACGGTACGCCATTGGTACTGCGTATTTCCATCAATTCCGAGACCGGAGAGGCCATTTTCGATTTTACAGGCACCGGACCTGAGCACCACGGCAATCTCAACTGCCCGCCGGCCTGCATGTATTCCGCCATTCTTGTAAGTTCTTCACACACACCATTTCCCTCCTTCTTTCTTCCTCCCCCGTGTCAAATGTTCATGACTCTTGCTAACACTGACCCAGTACTGCCTCCGTTGCATGATTTCCTCCGACATACCTCTCAACCAGGGCTGTCTGCAACCCATCAATATTGTCTGCCCGAAGGGCACACTCCTGACACCATCCTTCACAGCAGCAACAGTCGGGTCGACAGGCGAGACGACAAACCGCGTCATCGACCTCATCTTCAAGGCGTTCCACACAGCCGCTGCATCGCAGGGAACATGCAACAACCTGACCTTCGGGTACGGAGGCAAAGATGCCGTGACCGGCGAGATTCTCAAGGGATTCGGATACTACGAGACGATTGCCGGAGGAGCGGGAGCCGGCGCCGACTGGGAAGGCGAGAGTGGCGTGCACACAGGTGTGACAAATACCCGCATTGGCGACCCCGAGATTTTCGAGAGACAGTATCCAGTGATCCTTCGAGAGTTTTCCATTCGGAAGGGCAGTGGTGGAGCCGGGTTACATCGCGGAGGTGATGGCTGCGTTCGCGACATTGAGTTCCGCATCCCCGTCCAAGTCTCGGTTCTCTCAGAAAGACGTGTCAATGCACCCTATGGCCTTGCTGGTGGGTGCGAAGGTATGCGCGGTGTCAATATATGGGTCAGGCATGATCCTATCACTGGGGAGGTGCGCCATGTTGGCATGAGCGGCAAATCATCGGCTGATATGCGTGCGGGAGATCGCATCATTGTTAACACCCCTGGTGGTGGTGGTTATGGCAGAGACCCCATGATGAGGGAACCGAAGAAACCGAAGGGGGAGTTCCGAGCGCACGAGAACTTCCTCAGGAATCCGGCTCTGTTTAGAGCATCGGGAAGTCTTGCGAATAGGCAGGCGCTCGCTGTATCCAATTAGAGGATGGTTGCAAATTGGCTGTAAATAACAGAATATGGTATCAAATTTGACGAATTCATCGAACTTCAAGAAGCACCTGCGCAAGACTGTATCCTGACGTTTCGAGGTTTGGTGTGTGAGAAATTGAAAATCCCACGTATGGGATTGTTGTCAAGTCTAACTGTAACAAAGGTGGAAGATGTTTAGATTTGCTTTCTGGGTAGATGATGAAGGGAAGTTACAGTGCAATGTGACTGTCGCAAGGTGAACATAAACTTCCGAGGCCAAATGGTATTATCGATCAGGATTAGAATCAAGATAAATTGATATAGGGGAATAGTAAGCCCGAAGTGAAGGCAATTAAAGTCTACAGTCAGAGAATTCCAGTCATAACGTCTGATCTATAAATATGACATCAGTGACACCTCTTCAACTTTAGCCATTGAGTATTGTACAGCTGATGAATACTTGGTCAATAAAATGCAGACCTGGAAGTTAACATAGACTTTGTGCACTTCCAGTACTCTTTCCCCATATGCTGTTTTTCCTTTTCCTCTTCCATGCCAGAGTCATCCCCATAATTGTTCTTCCTCACAATACCGGGCACGCCTGGATCAGCCTTGAGGCATTATTTGAGTCAATCAAACTATTGCTAATCAATGAGATGAATATTCGAACAGCCGATGAATGGGGATGTCATCGTGCATTATGGCGAAGTCTTTTGCCGCATCCCTCGCTGCGAGTACAGCCGCGTGAGTTCGCCATTATATCTCCCTATATCGACTGACTGCTAATCAATTTATCATAGATTCCGCTTTCCAGTACCGACTCCCTCCGCTCTCACATCCAGAAGCATGGTGTTATGGTAGCCCGAAATCGCCCGGGCCGTATCAGCCAGGGCAGCCAGGATGCCGTAGTGGTGTGGTTCCAGGCATTATTTTCTCGCGAGAAACAACATAATGTTGATAAGGACCAACATGACAAGGATCAGTAGATCGGGACAGACATAGATTCCACGGATTTCTTTACAGTCAGCCATACAAAATGGTAATGGCAAGAAATCCACAATGTTCCATCTATGAGAAATCCCGTCAGCCTCGAGGAGCTCGCTACGGGCCTGAATAGATCTATGAATGACGCCACCAGGCACAGACCATATACCAGAGGTGTGGTCATGGCATTCCACTGGGAAAACGATGAGATGGGTGTTGATGTCCTGGAAGGTCAGCTACTAGAAATCTTTCAGCCCAACAGATACACTGCAGTTAAAGTCTGTATACAAGGGTGTAGTTGGAACAAAACAGATTGAGGCACTTGACCCAAGCGGCCAATGCCATATCTCTTTCTATTTCCAGAGTATTCTCCATGTTGATGGATGGGTTGGTGAATAACAAATAGGATGGTGGCTGCACTTCAATGGAACAAGGTGAAAATTGAACAATATGTGAGGTGATGTGTAATGTGTGCTGGAAGGTTAAAGCTCTCATTTCATTATTGGATTCAATCCACCAATCAACTGGGCTTGTGGTTTAGTGGTATAATACTCCCTTAGCATGGGAGTGGTCCGGGGTTCGATTCCCCGCGAGTCCAGATATTTTTATTTTTATTTATTCTTTTTATTTTGCTCCGACATTGGCCAAAGCCTTGTCATGTTAAAGTATTTCTTATTTGCATGTCGAGAGATGCCTACAGGAAGGACGATATCAATGTGCATGGTAACATGCGAAGAGTTGATTGTTGATTGTTGCTAAGACTCAAATTTCATGGAACCATCCAATCCGAACACCTCCCTATGAACAACTGTGACAAACCACCCACAAACACAGCCCCTAGTTGGTGAGATGCTGCTCTACTCCGCAGGTGGGTCTTCAATGACTGCACGGGGAGCGGGAGCGGGAGCGGGAGTGGGAGCTGGAGCCGATTTGTCCAGAGCTAAGTAAGCCGGGTTGCGGAAGCAGTTCGCACTGGAATGACCGGCTTGACGTTGATGAAACTGGCAAAAGTATGGCAGGTGATTCCCTTTGTTCAAGCTAAATGAATGAGCTTGATTGAGAGCGTGGAGGCGACGTTCCTCAAAAACGACAAAGTCTGTGAAGGTTGACTCGATGGTTGTATCGGTGGAGACTTTTGAACTGAGGAAACCGTCGAGCCACTCATGCGCAGCTGGGTTGGTGCTCACGGCGTTCAAGAAATGGTAAAAGATGAGGAGAGGCGTGAGCTTTGTCGAATTGCACTCTTGGAGCTCGCCGAGGGCGAGACGCCACTCATTGACGAAAGCTTGAGGTCTGTTTGAAGTGTATGTGGTGTTGATAAACTTGAGGAAATTGGCGAAGCCGGCTTCATAGGACCGGGCTGCGAACGCGTGGTGGAGGTTGGCATATGCGGTACGCGCGTTATTGGCATCGAGAATATAGAACTTGACCGTGTGGTGGACAGTGGCATTCAGTAGCGGAAGGAGGTAACGACTGGCTGTATCCCACTGGGTACGATCCTCGACTTCAGCCGGGGTAGGCTGTGTGGGGTCAACTGCGCTGGGTTCACTCCACGCGCCGGTGAGAAGCGCGTAATAACGAGTGTCGCGCGAGTCGAGGGTCCACTTGAGTGAAGTAGTCCACGTAGAGAAATTAGACTCTCCAACAAGTGCTGGAACAAGTTCGACAAAAGTCGGCTCGGCAAAGCTAACGGAAGCCATCTTTGTGATGATGTTGACAAAAGGAGGGTTGAGAGTGAATGGGTGAAAACACAGTATTGATAAAACAAGAAGGGAAGTTTGATTGATAAAATTGCCTGGGGGCGAAATTAGGACTGGTGGAAGTTCTGTGCTGTTTGTGACAGCTGCAACAAAATTCGGGAAAACAAAGGTCATGATAAAGAAGGAGCTATTAGACCCTCATCACTTGCCAGATAACATAATATTACTACAAAACAGAGAATTTCAAAGTGCATATGTAGTGACTTTCTTGTTATTGAAGCCGAAGACATAGAACTATCTACTCCTACCGCACTAGGCCTCGGCGTCTAACGTACATAAGCTCTATTGAATCATCACTGCATAGAATTGGCACTCCTCTGTTGCAAATCAAGACTGAATATTCATACAACAGCAACTGGATCCGCATTGCAATACAGCCTTAGAGTGCACAATGCTCGACTTGGTAGATAAACAGATTGGAAAAGCTCGAAATTGGTATTTTCATAGAAAATGCAGCGATATTAAATATTTGTGACGATACCCTCCCTCAGAGTTTGAAGTCTCTTACATTCTATGTCAAATTGATATGACTGCACCACCTACAGTCGGTCTTGACCACACTGGGTTCGTATATCCACTTCTATATTGACGATAACCTCGAGTACCATGGGACGACCATCTTAGGTTGATTCTTATGGCCACTTTAGAATTAACGCCAAAACAAGAAAGCAGAACCTTATATTCATATATGGGACGCTAAATTATGGCCACTAAAGCAAATCATACCATTCATCGAGCTTTGGAAGCAGGGGGAGCTTGTTCGAGCTGTGAAGGTCCCCGAGAGCCTACGCACTGAGGAATTCTTTCTCGGTGACTTTGGTATAGCCCCAAGGTCGTGATTCCTGGTATGATCAAGATCAAATGCCTAATCAAGAGTATGACCTCGATTCAATTATTACACGCTTTCGTCCAGATATTGACTCGATTGAGCGACAACATGTGAATGCGATCATGTCTAAAGTATTTATTTACTGCCCAGAAAACGTCTGACGGCAACACAACTTCTGCAGGACCCCTCGTTCAGAGCTATTATGGATAGATATGGTTGTTGATTTCTCCTTTCTCTTACTTCATGTTTGTCCTAATTCATATGTAACTCAGACGCGAATATCATGCCCTCGAGTCGAATCCTCCTTGTCTGAATTGTGCAATCGATGAGACAACCCGTTTCAAGTTAATTTAGGTTGTAGCTTTGACGACAGCACTGATGCTGCGAGCAGTGTAATCGATATTGAAGTTGTTGAGCCCACTAAGAAAAAGAAATGTCAGCTCACCGCCTATTCACAAAATATGCCGATCAAACATACGCGATAGATATTCTCCCAGAGTCCTGAAGATAAACATGGTGCTTCTCTCGGAGAAGAGTAACTTGTTCCACGGACAGTCCAACATATCTAAAGAAGGTCAGTATCTTGAGTCTCCCTGAGTCCGATATTGGTAATACCTACGAAAACATTCCGTTCTGATCAGTGAGATGCCGCCAGCTACCTGGTGTTTCCAGTTTCTCCAATCCTTCCCTTAGCGCAACTCGACGGCGCTTGAGTTCGTTCGCCATATCGCGCACTTCCTGCCGCCATTGGCGCTCCAAAGTCTCATCCGAGAGAATTGTTTCAACAATCTTGGACCCGAAATCGGGCGGTGCGCCGGACTCCGCTCGTGCGAGTAGTCTCAATTGCGTTTCTATGTTCTTCCCCACCTCTTCGCTTGAAACAAGAATCGAGAGAATTCCAACACGCTCGCTGTAAAGCCCGAAGGATTTGCCGTATGTTGAGACGAAAACAAGCGGGATTTCTTGCTCGGCAAACAAACGAACACCGGCAAGATCCGTATCAATGTCTCCCGAGGCAAATCCGGGATATGCAGCATCGAAGAATGCCAAATGACCGCGCTGGGAGAAGATCGAGGCCAACTCTCGCCACTGATCCGGTGATGGATCACATCCAGTTGGGTTCTGGGCACCAGACTGGAGAAGCACGACGGATTGAGCTGGCAACGATCTGATGGCCTCTGAAAACCTCTCAAAATCGAAATTGTTTGTCTTGCTGCTAAAATAAGGCAGAAGACTGGCCTTAATTCCCGCAGACGTGAATACGAAAGGATGATTCACTATGACCCGGTCAGAATTGCCTTCGTATGTGTCACTAGCGACAACTTACACCAGGAGTCGCTCGGAAGGAAAATCTCGGGGTTTCCATTCTCCTTCCACGGTCCATAATGATTTTTCAACAGGACTGCACCGACATGGCATCCGCCACTTGCGCCGAGAGTCTGGGTTGAAACTATCCTAAGCGGGAAAGTCAGCCCTCGATCGTTTTTGAAAGAGCATATCGGTCTCCGTTTACCTTTTCTCCCGCAAAAGACGATGGTCAGGCCCAAAAAGCAAATTGGCGCTCAAGTCCCTATAAAGCTGGGAACCTAGAGCGGAAAGGCGATACTCATGATGCCAATCAGGATCATTGAAGATTCTGTTCTTTGCCTGTAACGAATGTCAAAGATTTAGTGATGTGCTGAGGGTGGAAGGGTGAACTTTCAGACGTTATATATACCTCTTTCACACTCGGCAACACGTACGGCTTTCCCTCCTCCGTTTTATACACTCCCACAAGGAGATCAGTTCTGTTGGGATCGGTATCCTCTCGGAACTTCCCAACGAGAGCTGCGAGGCCATCTAGATGTGCGTTCTTAATTCGGGTTCATGGATGTGTCAATTGTATTATTTACCAGTTCGGCCCGTTGGGACTTTTTGAAAAGGATCTTGGAACGTAGTTGCTGTTATGCTACCCATTTTGTTGCTAAGGATGAGCGGGGAAATGGGGATTGCTGTTAGATATTATAGCTGCGGGGAAATAGGTCGCTTAGTGATATCTATCTAGTAGCACGTTATTGATAACACGCCATCATGTCGCAATATTAGACATGTGTCAGATAGTCTATTAGTACGGAGGGTATTTCTCCATCACGGACCATTACTATATATAATCGGCTACAACATACACAGAGTCAGAAAATAAGATAAAATTAGGTGGAACATAGCGCGCCCTCGCACTGACACAATATGGTGAAGGTATTGAGTGACAGACTAAGCCCGATAAGAAGACTTTATAAACCACCTAGGTGACTCCATGTTGTACGTACATATTTCCTCTGTCGGGTGAGATACTGCCGCTTTTATGAGGGCGCTCAGAGTCAGGCCCACTGAGTAGATTTCAGTCCGGCTACGTAGTACTAATACTGCTGCCTTAATGCCTGAATCACTATTACAGCTTTGGAAAAACAAAAAGCAAAAAGAATGGTCCCAGAGGGGGTCGAACCCTCGACATCTGCGTTATTAGCACAGCGCTCTAACCAACTGAGCTATGGAACCGCTTGATGTATGTACCATCAACTTCTGGTTATATAAAGTACGTAGACTAGCATGGCAAGGACAAGGCCACTATCATACCCCTCTCTCCAAAGCGACCGGCGCCCACCCCTTCTCTCTATCATTAGTAAGCAGCTCAATCGAACCTTCCAAGGTTGGAATGGATTGATAAGGGTATTGCCACGCGAAGAGGTTGGACGCGCGTTGCTTATGTTTTGAACGGGTTTAAGGCATAGGCCACACATCACCTCCTAGCGCGTGAACTTGCTTATACCTTCCATTTATTGTACTATCTTCGCAACCGCAGCATAGCCATTCGTTTTCACCGTTATGCGCAGGCTCTTTACACAATCAGCCAGGTCCTTGAAGAGGTCACGTCTTTCCAAGAATTGGAATTCGGTTAACGATCTCTTCGAATACACAAGGGGACGATTTGTGTCAAATGAAGACCATGAACTGTCAATACGTCGGGTGAAGTTTGATATGAATGAGCTTGCGAGGCTTGCCGCTGATTCTGTTGGCTCAAGGGAATGTGTTCATATCGAAAAATTCCCTGATGGCATGTTTAACAAAACATTCCTATTCACCATGGAAAATGGCGCTGAAGTGGTCGGGAAGGTGCCAAACCCCAATGCCGGACAGCCTAATTTTACGACAGCAAGTGAAGTGGCTACAATGGATTTTGTAAGGCGTCCTTGACTGTATGCCTACCTGCTCCTTGATGATCACTAATCTTCGTAAGGTTCGCACTGTCTTAGGTACTCCTGTTCCACGTGTTCTATCCTGGAGTTCGAAAGCAGACGAGAACGCTGTTGGTGCCGAATATATCATCATGGAAAAGGTTGGAGGTGTCCAGCTAAGTCATGCCTGGGACGATATGGGCATCGAAGATAGATTTGAAATTGTGAAAGCAATCGCAGGATACCAAACATCTTGGTTATCTACTTCCTTCACCAAATACGGGAGCCTTTACTACTCATGCGACACCGACCATCAAAAAGAATGTGTTTTAATAAAGAGCGATGGCACTCATGCCAAACAGCCTCGTTTTGCCATTGGGCCATCGACAGGTCGAGATCAAGCTGATTATGGAAGGGTATTAATTGATTTTGACCGCGGACCATGTGAGTTATTTGAGATTGCTTTACATTTGCTCCGCTCACATAGTATTCTATTGTTTCTAGGGGATGATGCCCTTCAATATCGCCGCGCAGTCGGTTTCCGAGAGATTGCCAGCGTACAGAGCATTGCAGAACTTCCCCGATCCCCTCTGAGTCTTTATGGACCCGATACATACTACCCGACTAGAGCTAAAAAATTGGCTGCTCTACATAGTTACCTTCAGCTGGTACGGTACCTCTTACCGACCGACAAATCGATTACGGCGTCTTTCCTATGGCATAGCGACCTTCACACAGAGAACATCTTCGTCAATCCAGAACGGCCCACAGATATTCTAGGCATCATAGATTGGCAGTCAACTGAACTATTACCTCTATTTGAACATGCCCGCCAGCCGTATTTCCTGGATTATGATGGACCCTTTGTCGAAGGTCTTGAACCGCCAACCTTGCCCGAGAATATCGGCGAACTTTCGTCAGCGAAGCAACTCGAAACGAAACGTCTCTATATCAATATGTCTCTCTCAGCGTTGTACCGAAATCTCACATATCGCGACAATCCAGTACTATACAAAGCGATGGAGTTTCGGCAGACTAGATGCTTCGAAATGATGCTACTTGCGCAGAATCTTTTGGTAGACGGGGAGGCATTATACCAAGCCAGTGCTCTGGATCTGGAGAAAGAATGGCCCGATATACCAGGTGTTCAGGCATTCGGAAATCCTCCTTTCCCAGTGCAGCTCTCCGCTAGTGAGGTTAGATCGCTTGAGGTGGATGTTTCTGGCGCCATTCGAGGTATGGAGTTGTTGGCGGATGTCAAAAATTCGCTAGGCGAGTTATGGCCAGAAAAGGGAGTCGTGAGGCATGACCAATATGATGATACAAAAAAGCGCCTTAATCAAGCCAAGGCCGAAATACATAACCGGCTGAAGTCTTCTGAAGAACAGCGAGCATGGGAATATTCATGGCCGTTTGGCAGATCAAACAACTCAAAGACCGGCGAGATCCCTTGACCCGTCACGAATATCGGCATTGGAAGACGTTTTTCTGCTTTTTCAAGCACCTCTAATACCAGTCCTTTCCTCTGCGTAGTTTTCCATTTCACCGGACCAAAATCTTGGCGATCATCGTACTATACACGCGTCACAGGGAGTTGCGGAAATGTGGAGATATGGGGGAAAAATGTCTTGTAGCAGCTGCAAGTGACATTTCGCCGTATTTAAAATGCCTTTAATTGAGTCCTCACTGAGCCATGGATCTCCAATGAGCTCTTTGGCAGTTTTCCTGTCATCTGGAAGCCACCGGAGTATATTTTTGGCAAATGCTAGAAATTGCTCTTTTTGCCCCCCTTCAAGTGTAGAAACCGTATCCTCAATTCTGGGATTATGCGGAATCAAGTCTATGTGCAAGAATTAACCTGATTAAATAGAACATTAGCTTAAGGAAAACGAGTAGCAGATTCAAATAAGATTTCACCATTTTCATTAAAGAATGGACCCCCAAACCACTCCGATGCAGTGTTACACATTTCTCCCGCCGTATTATGGGCAGCTGGGGCCCATTTCCATGTCAGGCCTTCTCTTTCGCGAGTTATGAGTTCTTTTGGCGGTGGACTGAGTAATGCAATCATTTTCACAAGATGTACTGCAGGGCTATATTTGCCTCGACCATCGTGAGTCGTGGAGAATAAATCTCGGTTTTCAAGCAGGTTCCACATCTATCAATGATTAGCGGACCTGTAGACATCGCTTAAGTGATATATAAGGGCTTACTAGAAGACCTAGATTCCAGATGTCAGCACTGTAAGTCCATCCAGCACCCAATATCACCTCGGGAGCTCTGTATTCATCCGGCTGAATCGGATGCCTATTCAAGACTGAATTATCCTCCTGTTTGTGTGCTAGCCCAAAATCCGTGATTCATGGAAGAATATAATACGACCTCTGTTCTCCGAAGTCGTTATGGGAAAGGTAGACATGGTGACCGTCTTTGGTCTTCCGGGCCATTGGATTGGATGACTGTGCACGCGCAAAGTCTTGTAGGACCGAAGGATCCTCAATCCCGACCAGAATATTCTCCACCTTCAGATCTGCTGAGATAATGAATATGACTAGTAGGCAACACAACGTTGCAGCCTCGACTTGCCTGTATGTATGACTTTGTACTCACCGTGTAAATAATCCAAGTCCTTCAGAAGCAGCTTCACGTAACCCTTCAAAAGACCCAGAGGAAACCTCTGATTCCAGCAGCGGCTTTAAAACAGCCATAATGGCTCTCGCATCGGCTCATAACCTAAGCATATATGCGTACCAGTCGGGCCCCTTTCCTCAAATTTTCAATAAAGGTCTGGAGGTAGTTACGACCGTCGTGGTAGGGGTTTGCCTGTGCAATGAGACTTTCAATACGAGCCTCGTGCGAAGCTGCATTCATATCTTGATAATCACAATTTCCGACTTTCAGGGTCAAATAGCGTTCAGATTGAAAGCGCCAGCTGGTGAATTTTTATGGATCAGTGCGCACCCGTAGTAAGAATGGCCCTTGATGTCTTACCGTCGAACATCTCGAACAAGCCATACGGTGGAACAACTGCCCCAGCCGAGCTTTGCCAAAGCTTCGTATCTTCTATTAAAAACGTAGCCTGGCTCAACAGGAAAATAGGCATTTGCATCATATCCGGGTACGATTTATTTTCAATAGGAAATTGTAATGGCAACTCGGTTCCTGTAGCACAGAAAACGGTGCGAGACTTTCGAAAAAAACGGAATGAGGCTGGACGGCTGTATTAAGCGCATAATGACAGTCCAGTAGGCTCAGATAGAACGAAGAAGTATAGAATGAAATCGAAAGTAAGTCTTCGAGGAAGGAAGACTTCGGTAGACATTTTAATCCGTTCCGAAATGATTGATGAAAGTGTGATTCTTACTTTTGGTGGTCTCGACATTTAATTGGAACATTTGATGAGAAAATCCTCAGAATCACTCCCTCTTGCCTCAGTCGAGGGCGATCGCATGGTCGTCTTGTTCCGGGGTCAGTTGACAAGTCCAGGTAGTGTGCTTGGTGTCAAACGTTAGAACCTAAAACAGCAATATAACATTTTAGGTAGAGCTCTGCGCCACTGGAAAAGTGGATGGCTGAATTCCACAGATATGGACTTGTGCAGCCCTAAAATCAATAGCGAAATGCAGTAGAGCGTTTTTGGAGAATTAAATAAAAGAAGTGGAATATATATCGAGTGATAGACCAAGCCCGACAAAACCACTTTACACCTAGAATATGAGGACCTGTGAAAATGACGCCGAAAATGACCACTTTGGCGCCAGAAATGGCCGTCTTCCCACCCGTAACTTTGATGGGCGAGCGGGCGCTTCACCGCCCGTCTACTCTAGGTCTGAACGAGAGCGTCGGATTGGTTGACAAGAGACCCATAGAGCTAAACTTATTTTAGAAAGCGAAATGCAGAACCAATCAACACCTGAAAAGATAAATGGTGATCATCCAAACTTTTGTTGACGGCCTCCAGCGGTCTGTGTTCTTAGAGAGTTCAAATTTAGTAATAATTACGTAGCATTACTAGTCTAGTTGTGTAGATAATCCATAGGAACATTGTTGGGATTTCCCTCCAAGTAGGGGTAAGCTGAACGGTTATGCCCGAAAGGATGCATTTGCTATGGCTGCTGCAACCTCGCTTGCAATATAGTCGTCGCTGCCGTCATCGCTTTTGTTAGAACGTATAGCAGTGCATCCTATATACCCTAATAGGACTAGCCTGAAAGCTACTCTAGAAACAAACGCATGGACCCCACTGGACAATGTGCTGCTACATAGTGGATACGGCTAGAATTGAGGGATCTAAACAATTTTGGTAAATTAACTGTCACTAGTTTACTCGTATGCTGGCCGGGAAAATATCAATATTGGGGGCTGTGACGATCTCATGGGCTATCCGGTAACTATAAATAATACTTGAATCCGACACCTGTGCTAGTACCTCATGAAATCACAACAATTCCTTCCCAATTCCTTCCTTTCCTACGACCGGTTTTCAATCATGGTACAAATATTGTTTGCCCCTTTGGTGAACGCCGCATCTGTATTGGCGGTCTTTGGCCTTATCTCCACCACATCAGCAACGTCCTCAGGGTACAATTGTAAGGCCGGACAATCTTGTTGGCCATCGAACAAAGAATGGGAGAGTTTCAACAGCAGTCTGTCCGGAAACCTGCACCGCACGATCCCCTTTGCCGCAAGCTGCTATTATAGTTCTCAATACTATGACCCTTCAGCCTGTGATATCGTCAAATCGAACTATTCAACAAACCAAGCACGAACCGACGTATACGGCGCAGCAACAGGACTCAACTGGGAAGGATGCCGGTCCCAAACATGTGCCCTGAATGCTTTGAACCCGGCTGAGGTCATTTCCGACAATTGCTACCTTGGCCGACTATCGTCATTGTATGTCGATGCTAGGGAACCAAGCCATGTTGTTACCGCTGTGAAATTCGCCCGAAAACATCATCTTCGGATCACGATCAAGAACACAGGACATGACTACTTTGGACGCTCTACTAGTCCCGACACTCTTGCAATCTGGACTCACAATATGAACAATATGAAGTATCACAAAAACTTTACTGCGTCCAATTGTCCTGCCTCGAACGGTCAACATATCGCAGAGATAGCATCCGGTGCTCAGGCGACGGACGTCTACACCTATTTCACAAAGTTCAACATGGATGTTACCGGTGGCAATGAAGGGTCGGTTGGCCTGGCTGGCGGCTTTGGTCAAGGAGGTGGCCACGGCGTCTTTGGTCCCAAGTATGGTCTGATGGTGGATAATGCGGTTGAATTCGAGGTCGTAACTGCAGACGGCAAATTGCGAGTAATCAATCAATGCAATGATCCCGAGCTCTTCTGGGCCATGCGAGGCGGAGGCGGAGGCTCCTTCGGCATTTTGACAAGCTATCGCTTTCAACTCCATCCAGCGGTCAAGATCAACGTGTATCAATTCGAGGGCAGCTTCACGACACACGGGAATGAAACTGCCAATTACCCTGCATTGAAACAGGTTCTCACGCAACACGCAACCTACCAACCTACCTGGTCTCATAACAACATCTCAGGACATGCTTACTACTGGCCAACCAAAGCTGAAATTTACCTTGTCCTGCCTTCGAACAACGAAACAGCTTTGAAAACTCTGACCAGTGAATTTTCCTCCTTTTTGGAGCATCAAACAAATATCCAGGTCACCAAGAGCAATTACACGACATATCCCAAATATACCGAATTCTTACAGATTACCGATGGGATCGCTGCCGAATACACACCGGGCGGAATCTTTGAAGCTGTTGCAGGTCGACTGATCCCGCGCTCATTATTTGAGAGCAAACGCAAAGTCGCAGACCTAGTTGATGCCGTCCTTCAAGGAGTTCGGCTCAGCAATAAGCTACTCCCCGCAGGTGATTCCCTCACCCAAATCATCATGACCACGCCTGTGAATCGCCAAAATGGCAACACGACAAGTGCCAATCCTGCCTGGCGCCCAGCTCTCTGGCATACTCTCATGACAGGTGGATGGACTAGTGAACTTGGTGTCCAAAACGAGACAAATCTGCTCGAGGCATGGTTGGATACTGTCGAGCCACTGAAACGTTTGACGCCTGGTGGAGGGTGTTATTTGAATGAAGGCCATTACTTGGAGCCGAAATGGCAAGAGACCTTTTTCGGATCGAATTATCCTGAGTTGCTTCGGATAAAGAAGAAGTACGATCCTACCCACTTCTTTGACTGCTGGAAATGTGTTGGCTGGAAGGGTCCCTCGGAGTAAGTTTCTTTTTGTATTTTATCGGCGAATCGAAGACTGACATTGAAACGTGCGTAGTGCCTACTACTGCTACGACTAGCTCAGATTTGGCATCTCACGGTTAATCTATTGAGCTTGTTTTGATTACCAGTCTCTCATCCAGTTTTAGCTGCAGTACGCTGGAGCTTCTTGAGAGCCCGTAGAGGGTCTATTGGCTTCCCGCAGGGACAGGGGAGAAATCCGCGCTCGTGTAGAATTAGCAACTTATTCAAGGAAATCTGGTGGTGGAGCTTCATACGAGAAGAATAATATATACGATGATTGAGACATGATAAAGCTGTGCAAGAGGAAAGAGGACTTAACTGAGATTCTTTTTTGGAGTTGGGCTAAAGGACTTAGACGTAGAGGTACATGAGGAAGATGTATCATAGAGGGATGAAATGTCAAGGTGACCAGGACACGCTTTAAAATGCTTACCATGAAAATATTCTACTTTGTGTCGCAATCAAGTCGTAAACTAGCCCAAGGTTATAGATGAAAAGGTCCATCTCGACAATTGCGCCGATGGGCTGTGGTGGTGATGAAAAAGTAGAAAGAGAAATCGATGGATCCGGGCCAATGCTCCTACATCACGGTGTGACTTGGCTGATCTGATCGATGGATCTACCACGTGTGGCCCCTTGGGGCGCAGAGCCACCACGAGGTTAATATCTCGAGTCAAACCAATCAGGGACCGAGAAACCATAGTGCGCCAACTCTAGTGTAGGTGCCCTAGAGTTGCTACTAGGGTATAGGGCCCGTGAGAGCAAAACCAACCGCTGACGACCCGTATCCGATGGTTTAGTATTGTATCTGACCGTATATTCACTTTAGACTGTTACTCGGTTAGAAAATTAACGTTCCATTCATTCCTATATATCACCCGTTGTAGGCCTGGTTAGACTAGTACTCGTTCTTTGGTCAATTGTCTTTGCAACACGAACGGGGTCGAGAGCGCTGTGATTGGTGCTGCATCTCGATTCCCCAAAGTGGACTAGCGCTATGGATCGGGAACATCCCAAGTTCTTTGTTCAACCTCACGATACTCGGACACGTAAACTTGTAGATCATGGTGATCAATTCATCGGTACCCCGCACGGAGCAATAACAAATGATTTTCTCTCAGCCTCTCACGGCACTTCCGATGGAAGCTGCTGTATCTTTGTAAATTTCGTTTGCATTTCATACAGCTCGCTCATTCCATGCTGCAGTTAAAGGCTGCATCAATAGCGCCTTACACGTCGCTGCTGGAAGAAATATTGATAATTAATACATTGTCAATCGACAACAAAGATGGCCCTTTCCCTTAATGTCACAGCGGCCCGCAACATGATTGACTGTGTTCATGATATATGCCGGGCGCACAAGCAGAACAAGCTTTCGGGCGCTCCCCCGAATTGGGCATCTTCGATGCTGCGGGGCAGTGTAAAGAACATCACCGCTACTCTGTAGTATGGTACGCTTTGGCTCGAGAGGGATCGGCCCTGGAGGAGAATATAGCTAAGATATAACCAGATCATTTCGGCCCCAATCTTGGCGAGGCTTAGGGCCCAAGCCACTGACACGCTGAGATCAGCAAGAATCTTCCTATTCGGGTAATATAGATGTAAGACCAGTCAATGAGGAACATTTAATCACGATCGGTGACGCTGGCAGTAAGATCGCGGGGCTGAATCAACATCAAATTGAAGGACAATTCGAAGTATAAAGGATACCAGATATCTGTGTTCCAAAAACCACTCAAGAAACGGGTTTGCATTCCCGACCACACTTCAAATTACCTCGACGACGTCCTTTTCTTTGTCCTACCATTAATTCAAAGCAATATGGCTGTTGTAAGCTATCGAAACGGCATCGCTATCCTCCAGCTGATCGTGTTTCCCATCATTCTCGTTGCTGCCATCTTCATCTGGAAGAGGACAGGTTGGAGGCAAGGGAGCAAGATTTGGCGGTATGCCGTCACCCTTTCTCTCATCCGGATCGCTGGAAGTATATCCTCGCTGCTGGCAATCAGTAATGATTCCTACAACATAAAAGTTGCTGTGGCAGTGTGCCAAATGATTGGTATTGCACCTCTCTTACTAACTTTTATCGGACTGCTGAGACAAATGTGAGTTTTTCATTGCGAAAGTATTCATCGCGCCGATCAGAGACTAACATGTGTCTTTATAGTGATGTGGATAAAAGAATGCCTCCGAGGCCCATGGCATTGTTGACTCTGGTCACCATCATCGCTCTCATTCTCGGTATCGCTGGAGTCAGCTCTTCCAACGGCAACGATGGAACTTACCACCCTGGCAAGCTCGCAAAAGTAGCCATGGGAATTTTCCTGGCTGTATTCGCCATCTTTGTCCTCCTCAGTCTTTGGCTTTTCTATGAGCTGAGCTTCTCTATGCGGAGATTCCAAAAGAAGTTGTTCCTGGCCATTGCACTTTCTGCTCCCTTGTTGGCGGTTCGCCTCGTCTACTCGGCGCTCAGCGATTACACAACGTTTAGTGCCTTTGCACTGGATGGAAATACCACGGTCTATCTGTGCATGGATGTATTGGAGGAAATCATTGCCATGGGAATGACCATGGCCTTGGGAATATCAGCCATTCTGGAAAGCGACTTCGTGAAGCTTACTCCAGTCTCCCAGCAAGATACCGAGCCGAAACCAATGGGCGTGTGAGTTTCATCTTCTGTTTGAAGGATGGGTTTTTTGAGCGTGAAGAGTGGCTTTGAGGATGAAATTGAAGAACGAAGAGAAAAAGAAAGCCGTCACGTTGTGTATAGGGGGAAGTTCGCTTCCATAATGATACTGAATTTGTTAAGACTGAAAAGGCCATTGTGTTGTAAGAAGCGAAACTAAGTCAATCATCGAAGTATCACTAATACTTCTGTGACATAGTTCACATAAAGTGGCTAAGAGAAGTAATTCTGCGGTCCATTCCGATCCCGATATTTCCCCGCTGATCAGATTCGGGGTAAATTACCCTGTATCAAACGGTTTAGTACTGTATCTGACCGTGTATTTGGACTCTCCATCTCTTCTTTCTCTTGTTTTCAAGAGTTGAATCCCATGCAGTTTCGCTGGTTATTAAATACTACATTCATCATCTCTATCTGCATGAATAAACGACAAATTCTTGACCTCGGAGAAATGGGGGGGCAATTGGACACTTCTCATGTGTTAGCTTAGCTGTATGATTTGCAGATCTTGGCGCAAAAGGGGTAGCGCACGGCTGAGTCTGAGCCTTCAGCTCTCAGCCCAGCGGGGTAGCCGCATAGTGTGTACCTTAAAAGAGTCAACAATGCCAAAGCTTGTTTCTTCTTTCAACCGCCAAGAGAACTTGCCAAGTGCTCATTTTTCATCTTATACGTACTCCCTTTTGAATCATAATTATGCCAGCGAGTGGACGACCTTCCAAAAATTGCGGCAACTGCCGATCTATCAAGCGAAGGGTAAGTGCCTGGAATCAATCTACTGTCAGATAGGACTCGCTCAATGCTGAGTACCGAGTATTTTTGTAAAGTGCGACCAGAAGTTTCCCCATTGTGGACAGTGCATTCGTGCGCGCGAAGAATGTCAAGGGTATAGAGATGAATGGGAGCTGGTCTTCCGCGATCAAACCATCCACACAATTAAGCGCTCCAAAGAAGCTTGGGCAAAGGCAGACGGCTTGGAAACATTGAAAAGATCGCCCCCATCCCGCACTCTGAGTCTCAGCTCGGACGAGGTGGGCGTCAACTATTTTCTATTTCATTTCGTCGTTGGTGGTCTTTCTCCCTCTCGAGGGTATCTGGACTATGTGCCGGCAGTGTTTAGCGCTGATAGTGAGAATCCGACCTTGATTGCCAGCATGGCAGCTGTGGGTCTTGCAGCCCTGGCAAACTCCACTCAACAGCCTGAATTGTCCCAGAGGGCCCGCACAAAATACTGGGAAGCGATAGACAAAGTGAACGCAGCGCTCAGTTCCCCTGTCGAATCTATCAAGGATAGTACCTTAATGTCAGTCATCTCTCTTGGCTTGTTTGAGCATGTGAGCAATTTTGAAACATGGTTCCAATATGTAAAAGGAACCGTGGCGCTGGTGGTTTCACGTGGCAAGAGCCAATTCTCAAGTCCAGCCTCTATTCCCATGTTCAATCAAGTGCGTGCAGATATGTGCGCTGCCTGTGTTCATCGCCTTGAGCCATTTCCACGAGATATGCTTGAGTTGCAAGAAGAGGCAAGCAAGCAGGCCGACAACTCCAGTTGCCTTTGGCTACTAGGAGTGCTGGCCACCCGGACTGTCAATCTTTTGTCGGATGTTACGGTGGTCAAAATCAAAGATGGTACAACTTTAGCATACTTCCTGGAAGAATCTGCTATCCTCCAACGTGACTTTCAGGACGTTCTTGGTAATTTTAGGACGCAGGAACCGTATGCAACGATTGAAGATCACAGTGGAGACCCAGACCTCATTTACAATTCTCGATATGACCTCTACAGATCCGCGTGGGCTATAAGACTTTGGAACAATTCTCGTATCCTCCAAGTCATTGTCTGCGAGATTGAATTCCACCTTTTGTCGAAAGCCCTCACTGCGGGTCTCCCACCGGCCCGCCAAAAGGAAATAGCGACAACCCTTGAAGAGACATGTCAAATCCTCAAAACTCTGGGTGACGATATTTTGGCCACAGTTCCGCAGTCCTTGGGAGCTGTGTTGTCCCCAGCTGAGCCTCCTACTTCTGCCGATTTGTCTTCCGATCCATCTGCCAACGCAAGTGCTTCGGGTGGGCATCTGCTAATGTGGTGTTTATACACGGTTGGAAAATCCCCAGTCACAAGAGGCCGCACCCGAAAATGGGTCATGAAGCGTCTTAGGGACATTGCTCAAAAATCAAGTCTCCCAATAGCCCTGCAGTTTGTCAATGATATTGATGAGATAGACAAGGCGGCGAGCATTTTGGAGTCTGCCGATAATTGATGACTTGATATATGGTTTGTATTGATAATTTCTATGACGGGAGGCTACTGCGTTCTCTATACTCCAATAAAGACAAACATCCATCAGCAACAGAAACATAGCACCCAATTGCAAGATTTCCGCATATTATAGTTGACCTCTCATGGAGGTGCCGATTATACCCTCGCCTGCTCAAGACTAATACTTAAGCAGCTATCTTGCGGACCATAAACGTAGAAATCGACTTTTACAAACTAAATGAAAACGGGATATATTAGTACAGATTTAACATAAGTAACCATCTATACAGACAATATATCTGTGTCTTCTGCGCCTAATAGCTGAAGATGTATACTCCGTATGCAGGATGGTTTTGAGTTGGCTTCTTCTTGTGTTTTTTTTGGCAGTGAGGATAAAAGAAAATAAGCGATAGAGAGATGCCTCACGAGCTGAATATAATCTTGATCCAGTACCAATAACAAGAATGATAGGCCGCTTATGCGGCCTTGTCTGTCATCTTGGTACTGTCTAGTAGTAAGTCTTTTTGGATGTCTTTTCTCCCCAGTTTTCAAGTTTTCCAGGTAGACGACGGGAAAAGGATTGATTAATTGTTGTGTGCAGATCACTTGGGCACCTTTCTATTTGTATGTATGTAACCTTTGCCAATAAAAGAAAAAACATACAACAGTGAGGATTCGCTGGTGGTCACCCACCCAACTACTAACTCACCGGCGTGTGGCTTAAGTACGGCTGAGCGGACGGGAAGCCCTGTTTTCCACACCCTATGGTCGTATGTACTATTATGTTCTAGTATGCTAACTATATCCTATTGTTTACCTTTTGCTACCTATTACTATTCTTATTCTAGTGATTCAACTAGCTTCTCTTTTCAAGTCTATATCAAGTGCTGCGGCTCACTAATCCATAGTTCGTGGGTTTATTTCATTTGGCAAGTGAAGAACAAGCATCTCTGAGTCCTACCGACCCATTCATCTCCATCTTCGGCTTTCAGCCGCGATATATTTGAAAAAGCCAGGAGGAAAAGAACTCGGATGTGAACAGCAAAGATATTATATGAAATATAGCTAACTACGCATAGATGGAAATACCTCATTTTTTCGTTCACGTTCTTCCTTCTCTTTAACCATCTTCTCACTCTGTCACAATTCAGCAACAGCACCTATCTTTTCTCACGTTCTAACCTACAATCAATTCCTATTTTCATTAAACCATTTTAGCCAATGGCTAAGTAGGTCTCTATGGCTTCTGTAGTGGCTAAATTGTACTAACCTTATTAGTCGTCTCCCCGAGCCTACTTCGGCAGACCAGGGAATCCCAGTCCTCATCCCCCCTATCTCCCCATTCTATATTAGAAGCCGAATGGAGCCCTGGTAGCTCTAGGCTCAGTAGGCTCAGAGAATTCATGAGCTGTTGTGTTCAAATCATTGTAATGATCATTTTTCGGCAATGAGGTTAACGTGAATATAAATCACTATATCAATATCGTGTAAAGATATCAGTCAAATTGCCCACATTCTAAATTTTATATCTGATATTGGTTGATTACCTGCTCAAGATCCCACTAACAGGACCCTTAGCGTTCCTAGAATCATACTTGGCCCCATGATACATGGCATGGTCCCCAGGCACAATAATTATTGCTCCCAGAGTAGGAATAATTTTCCCACAGGGCCTATAATTCCGGGGAACGAGAGGTGGTAGAGAGTACGGGCGACTCCACCAAAGTGCTAGGGAGGTCGTGCTACTTCAAAGTGGCGGAAGGTAATACCGAACTAATCATATAAGAGGGTGGTCGAGTTGGTACAGTATAAGCCCCTTATATTCGTTCTTACCCTCCCATAAATTGAGGAGCTAAACCCCCAATTTGCTCCAGGCCCAAGTATTACCTCAATATCTGTAGATTTAATATATCTCATTTTGGCGCTTTACTGTACGAATCTATGAACAGGAAGTAAATGGTTAAATTGCGCGGCCGAAGCTTCTCCAAATCACCCTCAATCTGCAACTATTGAAATGAAACCAGTCTCGCTTGGGACAGGAAGTCCTCTAGACCTAAGCTTGCTAGCCCTTTTAGCTCTTTTCTTTGAGGACATATTTGCCCAATTCCCATACAGACTTAAGTCCGACCATGAGATCCTCGCTATGTAGCCCTGATCAGTAGCCTCTGGTAGTATTTCAGTATTAGACGTATCACCGGGTGACAAAGAAGCGCGCGACCAGCTGTCAGTATCAGCAGACACTTGAGGAATGATCCACTGTTCGCTACCTCCCTCAGCAGGAGACTCTTCCAGGACAGGCTCGAGCTCAGGCTCTGGTTCAGGCGATTCGACGACAGGCTCTGGTACAGCCTCTTCGAAGGCAGGCTCAGGCTCAGGCTCTTCGAAGGCAGGCTCTGGTACAGCCGCTTCGAAGATAGGCTCAGGCTCTTCGAAGACAGGCTCTAGTACAGCCTCTTCGAAGGCAGGCTCTGGTACAGCCTCTTCGAAGGCAGGCTCTGGTACAGCCTCTTCGAAGGCAGGCTCTGGTACAGCCTCTTCGAAGATAGGCTCAGGCTCAGGCTCTTCGGGGACAGGTTCAGGATCCTCAGGGGATGGCCCTCGAAGAGGGGATTCTTCTGAAATGATGCCGTTCAGTATCTTTGCTAATGATTCCCAAAAGAATTAGTTCAGTCTGATTACCATATGTTGAATATGTTGAAGATAATTTACCGTGCTGATCTTTCATAGAACATAAGCTAATAGATAGCATCTCGAGAATCATCTTCATCACTGCATTATCAAATTGATGGTCCTGGCCGAGAATATTGTAAAATGCGTGTAAGTCAAGCCCTGCAACTTCAGGCTTTGGTAGTCGCTGCAGGTTTCCTCGAATGTAACTTGGAAGCCAGGTTTCATCTGCAGGAAGTCTTGAAAACACGTCCCTCACGACCCGCAGTATTTCAAGAATAGGAAGGTCCTTATCTAAGTGCTCCATCTTCTGCTTAGCAAGGATTTCAAGGTCAGTTAGGCCCCAAGTCCTTGATGCATAATAGACTAGAACGCTCCTCTTATATTCTCTGGCGAGATCTGATACACCTTCATCAAGAGGCGAGCTGACTGTCTCGTAGCCGCCGGTATATAAGAAGTGCAGCACGGTATGCCCGACATCTTCATTAACATTAGGCATGATGATAGTCGATGACCCAGGAGAGGAAGGGGTAAGCTTTAGGTAATTCCGAAGGAAATAAGCGGGAATGCCATATTGCTTGCTCCCTATAATGAAGGTGACGAGAGGGAACTCGTAGGGCCAGTAAATAGGTCAGAAAACGCTAGTTTTGACTTATTCGAAGAACTCACGATGACAAAGGTCGATAGTAGTCAATTTTAGGAGAGACCTCTGGGGTAAGGAGTCGCTTAGGCTCCTCATTCGAGTTGCGCTGCTTCGTTTTCTTTTTTGCCATGTTTCAGTCTTCAACTTCGCCAGCTATCAAGTGACTCTCATAAAATTTTCAAGGAAAGGTATCAAGAATTAAGATGAGAGGAAGCCTGACTACATCTTATATATGCGGAGGATAAGGGATAAGTAGGGTAATGCAAGTATGAGTTGTCCTGCAAAGTGGTCGAAACATGCCATCTGTGCCCTGAATGGCAATTTAGTGTCAAGGATTGAAATGCAGCATGAGTCAGTAGATGGCTTATTACATATTTCAGCTGGTTATCACTTCTGAGGAGTTTTCGGTTTGGGAAGACGAATCTGCGCCGCTCAATTCTAAGTGTGCTGGAAGCAAAATGTGATATCCCTGGTAATCCTGGACTCCTATCAGTTGCTGTCCTGTCAGAAACCTTCCATAATTTGGTACCGTATCACCGCTTCCAAGACAGATGGTGCTTCTAAGCTGTGAGCAGCGAATTCACGTGGTGCTATACCATCCAATGGATTATGTCCAGGACACGTGTGGTTTTCGTTAGCGCTAAAGTTTCATATAGTGGCGTACTCACCACAATCCTATGGGTAGCTGAATTATCACTTTACAATTCACAAAACAACATCGCTCTTAGAATCACCTGCAGAGTCTTTCATCTATCTTTTCCTTATTCGCCAATCTCCCATTCGGCAAAGGACAGCCATACCCTAGAGGCTCCATGATAACTAGACAAAAGGTACACACAAGGTAAGGCCAGATCATGCAGGTATGTGTTGGCAGCCCATGCAGGGTAGGACACAAGAATTTTACTGATACAAAGGCCCGAGGAACTCAGCCCAAAGCTCATTCTCCTTGGCTAATATAATACCACCAACGAAGCAAGGCAATAATGGGTTTTCTCTGGATCGCAGGCATACCTCGTCCGAAGTTGACAGATTTTGAGAAGATCGGGAAATCCATTACGGAAGTGGAGCATTTGTCTTAAATTGGATTGAATCGTCCAGCTCTACATTGCTGTCCCCGAATGCCCGCCTCTTTGATCTCCACCCAAAACCCCTCCAAAAAAAAAGTTGCCAAAGACTCTTGGCCCATTTACATTGCTCAAACCGTGTTTCGTCATCCTGACAATTCACTCGCACTACTTTTCCGTTCGCTGTACATTGGAAACCCTTCAAAAAGCATTCACCAATTTGACTTGATAACCGGATAACCGATCGAAAGAACATCATGGGTAACCGGCAAGTGAGCAAGTAATGAAAGTCACTATTTACAAGCTCTGTTGCTGATTAAGCCCCCGGGCTGTCACTTGGATATAGGAGTGACAATTGGAAGCATTCAGCTTGTTGACTGACGAGATAATTTAGTTTATGTCTAGCATATACGCATAAATCCAATCCATCCTTTAGTTTGCTAATATTCGAACCCGTTCCCCGATTCCAAAGAAAAAGAAAAGAAAATACAAAAAGAAAAGAAAGACGAAAAAAAAGTTCTAAATCTGCTTCCCAAATGGCTCCCCCTTCGTCTTCCCTTCCGTATGCGGAGGCAGTTTTTCACGATACCCAAACTCCTGCTATTTAATATGAACTCGGTTGAATCTTTCATAGGTCTTTTCATTCTTATTACAATCCACATTGGCTAAGCATTTGGTAACATCCTTTTCAATTGAATCCATGGCGCGGTTCTTGAACCACGCAGTTTGTCCCTCGTCGCTTTGTTTCGTGACGGGGGTGTATATGGCTGTGTGGCATACCTCTTCTGTCCCGGTCATGTTGTCGGTCTTGCTCTTCCAGGGGCAGCGGTAGGTGTAGCGGCAGTAGAGGAAGCCTGGTCCGCCGTGGGACATTGTTGTTCTTGGGTCTGGGTTGGTTATGGAGGAAATTTATACTCCCAAGTCCTTCAAGGAGAGAATTTTACGCTATGTGAAATAAAGAAGTATAGGAGAAGAAACAGAAACAATATTGAGCAAGTTGATAAGAAGTAGAAGACGGTATTTGAGCCAAGGTGGGAAAGACTGGAGAACTATACCCCTGACAACGCTACACGAAATAATGCAGAAAAGGGTTGCAACCTTGGAACAACTAACTGCCCCACTTGAATTTTCTACTAAGCCTATCTAGGAAATAGGCAGCATTATCATTAAACAAAGAAATGAGTTTGCTACTAAGCCTATTTAGGAAATGTTTGCCTTTGTAGGTAGAGCTTCAGTATTTATACTCTTCACTTCTGGCGTTTCCTCTCGAAAATTTTCTTCCTCTCACTATCCCAACTCATCTCTTCTCAACTCTTCTCAACTCTCCTCTTCACTCCTGGCGTTTCAGCTTAAGATTTTTCTTCATCCACTCATCGTAACTCAAACGCAGCTCAACTCAGCTTGGCTCATTAAGCTAGCTTAACTCATCTCATCTCAACTTGTCCTTCGTGTGGCTTGTCCAAGATGCCACCATTCAAAGTTGCGAAGAAAAGAACGCCAACTAAACAAAGAATGAAAGATGCCATGCTCGACCTCCACAGCAAGACACAAAAACTATCCTTCACCCAGCTGAAGGCCTATATTGAAAACCTTACATCAATCTTTGAGGAAGGCCAGTTTGAGCGACCAACGATCGCAATCTCTTCCCTGAATATCGGCGACGTCCAAGTTTTACTCAAGCTCACTCATTCATTGGACAACCTTGAGTTCTGTAACAGAACTCCGGTTGAACTGTCCCCCGTCTACGGTACGTATCCCTTAAGGAATGTTCAAGTCAATGTGACACATAACTGATTTGACCAAGCTGAATGGATGGACATGACGAGAGACGCGTTTGGCAAAAGTGGACCCAATGAAGCGTTAACCCGGATCACTCTCAACAACCTCCTCATCTTCGCCCATCATTTTGTCACCTCGCAACCTAGCACCACTTCCTCAGACATGAACATGAACGACTTGAACTTGAATGCCGAAGGCCTCTGGCGTTATGGCCCTGTCATGCATAAGGACACCAAGCACGACCTTGTTGGGCGCCCTGACTATAGCCTGTGGTATGGCAATGAAGAGGATGTGGCTGTCAGTGTTGTTGTGGTTGAAACGAAGGGAGTTGAATCTGTGATAAGCGGGGTCTCTCAAACTCTCGGCTACATGGGTTGCGTTCACAGACGTCGAAAAGACCTCCAGAAGAAAGATGCAACTGTATATGGTATTGTGTCTGATGGCCAGTGTTGGTGGTTCTTGAAGATTAACAATGACTCGGAGGTGAGTAAATTATACCATGAAATCATACATATTCTAACTTGAATAGTGGTCAGAGTATATCATTACTGCCCGTCACGGAAATTATCAGGAGGTGGTAGGAATACTTGTGCATATGTTCCGAACTGCTGCGACCATGTCTCCCGCTCAGTCAGAGGGAACATCACTTCAGACCCACTCAAAGGAGGCGTCTGCTGAATCATATATGGAGTTTGATAAGGAGGCGGTGGAAGATGACGATGAGGAAGAATTCTGATTGCTCTGTTCTGTCCTGTCCCTGTTCTTTTCTGCTTCTTTTTTTTTTTATTCTTATACCCTGATTCCCTCGAACAAAAGTTTTTTTATTTTCTCCATATGGATTCCCTTTATATCCTGATTCCGCATGATTATATTCAATCGGCTACACGAGTGTTGCAGAAAGTAGCCATACCCGATCTCTAGGGCCTCACCGAGTTCTTCAGGTCCTGGCCAGACACTAAGGTCCTTTAAGCAGTCGTTCGAGTATTATACTTCACCGAATCTTGTCCTTTTTTTTCCTTACCCCGTTCGCACTATACGCCGATCAACCTTTTAAATATTGGTGAGGTTAGGGCGGGCAGTATTAGGGTATTCAAACTTATGCACCGTCACTATATATCAATGGTATATCTTGGCATTAGAGTCCGAGAACCAATTGAAGAGTGTAGGTAGTGACACCAGTTTCGGGACGCAATATAACTATTCTAACTTCTCAGGGATTATTCGTAAACATTTCATGGATAGATACAATATAGATAAAGATCTAATAGAGAAAACACTGTATGTGTTGATAGACGCGAAGAGAAAGAGAGAGGGGGAGCGTGCAGGCAAACTATCCGGGTTCTAGTTATCTTATACTCTTGGTTGAAGACGTATTGCGGAACTAAGGGGTCCAATGAATGGGTTTTCAACTCTCTGTATTTCTGTATCGGCTCCGCTGGTAATTTATAGTTAACTAGTTAGTATCTAGTACTATCCAATAGAAACCATGCGATCCTTATAGAATCTCAAGACGCTCCTGGAGTGCTTTCGGGATATTCTGTTCGGAGAACATATTTTAGCTGGTAAAGAAATTCAAAGAAAATCATGGCAGAGTAAGAGAAGCGCCTCGGGGCTTGACTATTTGTATTTTTTTAGGACTGACATTGGTTTGGAGTGAGTTGGCCCCTATCACCTCAAGGGTGAGAATTGTCACCCCGTTCTCACCTCTCTCACCCCAGTCTCAAGACTTCTCACCCATATCACCCGAACTCACCCTAGAGTGCCGCTTAGGTGCTGAGGGCACATTGAGTATTGGCCGTGCAGAATATGTGGCTTATATGCGGCCAATAGTTCGGTGGGTGTCGCCCGGGTGAGAAATGGGTGAGCGCCGCTTTACGGTCGCGCGACCGGTGACAAGGGTGAGTGTGCTATAGACAGGGTGAGAATCAGGGTGAGAATCACCCGTTCCGTCCGTGTGACCCGCTGCTTTCTGTCTACCCTGGTCGTGGTCTCTGCTCTGTTTTGTCACGGCTTGGTTACCTGGTTACTGCAGGTGCTGCGCCCTGTCACAACTATCCAATGGCAAAAATACCTCACCGATGATCATCTCAGGCTCGTGCTCGAGCCTGGTGCCTAGAGCTACCAGTCACTGCCGGTCAGCACCGTCGAGCTCTCGATCCTGAGAACCTTGTCCGGACCCGAGAACTACGAAACACTGAAACCATCGATCCCGCAATCCCGAAGCGTAATACTTGACCGGCTTTTGAGCAAATCCACACGACGGAAATGGAGATCAATGTCTTGCCGAGGATCCTAAGGAGCATGGCCCTAAAGTCGTGGACTTACTGCAGAATATGGAATTTCCGAAACTAGATGGTGATGCGCCGATTGACGATATAATCGACAAGTGTTGGCACAATAAATATGCCACGGTTGCAGCATTGCCCGCGCACACAGAGACGCTTATTACTGAAGGAACCAAACAGGAGGGAACCAACGCCGAGTCAATCTCCGTCACCCGACGGCACATGGTTATAGGCCGTATAATTCGTGGGTTATGGTGCAGCCTCGGGAACTGGCGGACATTGGTGCGACAGATCCTAGGTCTGGCTGGACCCTCTTTGCTTCCCGACATCGCTGGGGTTCTTACCAGGCAGATACCCCTCACAGGTTTCTCGCTTTCCCTGTGCAGCTCCACCTTCTCAATCAAGCCGACATGACGTCGAGGATACATAGACGCTTAATCGCCTGCGTTCGAGAACAGGAAGCTGTAGGCAGATCTGCGACACCGGGGGCTATACAATACAACCTCGGATAGGGCCGAACGAAGCGAGGCCTCCGGCGTCGAGCGCATTGGCACCCGATTCTCATCATCGTTGCTCTCTCAAGCCCCTCTTCCACTATAGATATATTTTTCAAGCCATCGTACGGTGGTACCCGCCAATGGCGAAAATATTGCAGTCTCGCCTATCTTTAGCTGATACTTCGTAAGGCCAAGGATACCCTACCACTGCGCAATTCTACCTATGATCTCCAGACGTGCAAAATACTTTCTCTACGAGTCAACTATAGTCAAAGGAGGAAGTTCGTCGCTTGGTCAAGCTTAGGGACGAACAAAAGCTAGTTTGGTCAGAGGTGACCAAGCAATTTGTACGAGAATTTCCCAGGCGGAGAATCTGGCCATGCAAGTGTACTGGAGCACGACACTCAAGGGGAAATACCCGCCCCAGGGGCCCTCACCGCATTCGCCAAACCCCTAGGGCGGGTATAATGTTTCTAATAGAATATACAAACTCCAAAGATAATCGCCATAATAGCTGGTAGAGTAGTTGGGATATTTCCCAGAAGAATTAGCTGTCTCCTCCCATTCCTCACTATAGAGTCTATGAGGCCTTGTCCAATCACCCTACCTCAGGAACTGTGCCTATACCACTCAAAAAGTAAATCCAAGTTGCTCAGGCTTACCTAAAGAAAGCAAGTGAAGAAGTCCACGCTTCTCCAAGTCCTGACAGAAGGCTTTTTTCGAAAGGAATTCCTCTGTCTTGATCCACGTTATCACAGCTGCCATTGGGCTCTCTGCCATTGGCTAATTCAGTGTTCGTTGCCTCGCTGCTGCAACAGGGGCACTATTTGGACCACAACTGTACTCAGTACCTTCCTCCTTACCTTTGTTTTCTTCTCTCTTCAGCCTCAAGATTCTTCGTAAAATGCACTCTTCTTCCATCAAGAACTGGCCCCTCACAGTCATGAATGCTTATTCAGTAGTCCTGAGCCTGGGCCCTGGGGCATGCACGTGTACTTTGTCAGAAGGCCACCAAAGGTCTTGGACCAGAGCCTTAAGTCTGAGTGAACAACATCCAAGGGACAGTGACATCAAGAGCTGAAACCCAGTAAATTAGGCAGGGTTCTGCTAGCGTCATTTGAATAGTGTGACGATTAGGGCTCCTTATATAGGGAGGGTGGTACTTGGTCTTCGACCAAGTATTCTAGTCTTTTGCCCTTAGCGCAGGGGTTAGCAACTGGAACGGTCCCTGGAAGTGAACCCTGACAAATAGATAAATATAGTACTACTGCCAACAAAAAGGTATAAACTTCAGCTTCCTAGCAATCTTCGAGAACTGTTCAACGCCCGAAAAAAATAAGGTTGATAATTTTAATGCTTCGTTGCACTACATACAGGTATGTAATCAGAAATTGTGACCTTATTGAAGGTAGAAGCTGACTTGAACAACGTGGCGAACGGAGATATGGTCTAGGTATGCACTAGGCGTGCTTCTAGTTTACAACTTGCCTTCTACCCATACTGTACTCCAGAACTTTGAACCCCACAATTAACAGATATCTGATATTTTGCTTAATCAGGATGACTTAGTAAACAGGGATGCTATTGGACGTTGACCAGGTCAGTAAACTTTGCAAGATCCTTTACTTTTTGGTTACTCAAGCTTTATGGCACATTTGTCACGATTGGTACCTAAAGAACTCGTACCTTCCTGTTTGGGATTGTACCGTTGGTCGTTCCTTCTCGTTTATATAAGGCAATCGTACCTTCCATCTAGGATAAGCGAGGATAGGGTTATGCCCCTAAAGGGGTATAAAGACCCGTTTGTTATTTTACGTTTTATTTTCTTTTCTTTTCTTCTTTATACTTGATATTTTGTTAGTAATATACTTCTTCTACTAAAGAGAACCTAGCATATAATATAATATCAAGTATCACCCTAAACCCAAACTTTCGAAGCTATACGACTATATAGACAATTATTATAATTGGTCCTAGTCTAGTTTCACCCTACCTATCCTAAAACTAACTAGAATAGGACTAGCTATAGTTCTATTATAACGGATCGCTGTAATCAGTAAGGGAAAATAACCTATAGTACCGGATTGTCTTATAGAAGAAGCTATAAACCTTAAAACCCCGACTCCTACTAGAATATAGGACCTAATTAAAAGTATTAAATATAATAGCCCTAAGGAAGGTCCTTTAATTCCTTCTATCTAAGAGATTATATATATAATTCCTAGTAAGGAACGATTTGTTAAGCTAGCTAATTAGTTCTAAATAGTTGAAGATAATAACCAGATAATATAAGATAAAATCTAAATCTTAATTATAGAGAATAGAAGGTCTAAGGAAGCTATTAAATAAATTATAGAGGAATATAATCGGTTCTATATAGAAAGGGATTACCTTATAATAGAATATAACTAAGCTATAGAAGAATATAATAAGGCTACTATTTATAGAGATATTACTATATATAAGTATAATAACCTTACCTACTACCTTATTCTTACTTAGAGTAAAACGAACTAGGCCTAAAATAATATACTAATTATAGGAATTACTAGCTAGAAATCTATAAAGATACCTAATATACTAATATTAAAGGATAGAAAGGAAGTCTATTTCGAAATATAGGAAACGGTTATTAGATAGAAACTTAAAGTAAATACTAACTACTACTTACTACTAGTTTACTAGAAGCTATATATATAAAGCTAATATAAAGGTAAAGTATAGCTATATATTACCCTATAAATAAGTATAACCTTAAATAACCTATATATTAATATAGAAGATATTATTATCTACCTCTATACTATCTTTATAAACCTAAATTATTATATAGAAGTATATATAGCCTATTATAAACTTAAGATAAAACCTAAGGAAGATTTTACCAATTTCTTAGCTAAATTTATATAACTTATAGAGGAAGCTATAGTTATTAAAGAAAACTATAAATATAACCTATATTCGAAACTTCTATATCTATTATAGAGCTAAGTTATATAGGCTATTAATTAGGAAATAGTTCCTTTTAATACCTTTACCTAGAGTTATTAAAGTATATCCTATAAGATTAGTCTCTAATAGGAAGTAAAGGGTACTATATATACTTATATAATAACTATATTTAGAAGTAGAGCTAGGACTACTATTAACTAGTCTAGTTTTACCCTATATATAAAGTAAGAAGGGGCTATATTATTATCTAGCCTATTAACTATAGAGTAAGAGACTCTTATAAAGGAAGGTTAATACTTCTACTATAAGGAGAAGGAGTATATAATATTTAAATACCTAAAGAAAAAGGTAAATATAGCCATAAGTACTATTACTATAACTAACTAGACCTATAGCTAATTATATATAACTAAACTTAAAGAATTAGAGGATAATATAAACCTAGGAAAAGTAATAGCCTAAGAGAAATCTTAATCCTAGGTAGGAAATAAGTATTACTATATATACTAGATCTATATAAGCTTTTAGGAGGTCTATAAGATAGTTTAGTATTTAATATAAGATTAACTTATAATAGATATTCCTTTATAATCTTAGCGCTAGTAGATACTAGAGTAGATAGCTTAATATTTATTAATATAGAACTAGTTATACTACTTAGTAAGAAATTTAGATTATATACCTATAAGCTAGACTATAAGTATCTAGTTAGAGGATTTAATAGTAAATTATCCTAACTAATTATATATACTATCGTCCTTATACTAAGTATAGATAACTAGATCTAATTAGACATCGGCAAAGCCTACCCGGCCTATAGCCCAGCCCAGCCCAGCCTACCAATGGGCTGGGCTTTGGGCTCACTTCTTCAGCCTATACTAAATTATGGGCTCTACCCTGGGCCCATAGCCCACAATGGGGGGCCTATATGGGCCTTACATAATACAGTGATCTGCCTACATAATTAATGCAATTTTAGGCCTGTATTCTCATTACAGCGCTCTCATCCAATTATAATTCATACATATGCCAAGCATATGCCTAGCATACCAATGTATATTCAATTATATATCTCTGCAATGTTCTGATATATATATTTCTACCATACCAATGATCTATCTACAAACATTCGACAATTCGTCCGATCTGTGTACAAATGCAAATTCATCCCATCTGTGTACAAATGCAAATTCATCCCATCTGTGTATAAATGCAAATTCATCCCATCTGTATACAAATGCAAATTCATCTGGTCTTCCCGCAATATGCCGATTCGTCCACAAACGTCAAAAATGAAGCCATTCCCAGATTACCTAACCAATTCGTCCCATCTGTGTACAAATGCAAATTCATCTGGTCTTCCCGCAATATGCCGATTCGTCCACAAACGTCAAAAATGAAGCCATTCCGAGATTACCAATTCGTCCCATCTGTGTACAAATGCAAATTCATCCCATCTGTATATAAATACAAATTCATCCCATCTGTGTACAAATGCAAATTCATCCCATCTGTGTACAAATGCAAATTCATCCCATCTATGTACAAATGCTGTATACAAATGTAAATTCGTCTGATCAATTCAACTACCACCAATAATTGAGATAATTTAATTCTAAAAACAGTATTTAAATGCTAGATAGTAGAGAGTATCTAATTAATTAAATGCGACCGTAATTTATTGCTAGTTGTGGTGTAATTATACGAAGGAGTTGGGACCAAAGCCTGTAGATTATTGGGGTGAAAACTCTGCAGCTTACCGAAATGCCGCACAAACCCATAGTTGAATTTCAGATGAAACCAATTAATCAGACCAATTAAGCAAACAAATTAAGCAAACAAATTGATCAGACCAATTGAGCAAACAAATCAATTAGATATATTAGCATTTATATATAGATCAGATAAATTGGTCAGGTAATCTCGGAATAGCTTCATTTTTGACGTTTATGGACAAATCGGTAT